TCTTTCCCTGCGAGTACATTTTAAATATTGGCTCTTAATTTTGAACACAGCTCCAACCCAAATCAAGAAAATTCTGATATGTTTTATACAGAGAGGAAAATTCACAAATCCTGATGACACAAAACATTTTCCTATGCTTTGTCAAGAAATCAGTATCATGTCTGAAAAAAAATATTACAAAATAGTAATATATATTTATACCTTATTATTTTAAAGGAAGAGGCCAAATGGAAACAAGATGGTGGCCAGAAGCAGCAGCTGGTGTGAATGAATATCCGTTCCTAAGTTATTAGAATATCTTTGACATTTCCCCTAGTTTTAACTCCTGGATGGTCAGTCTGAACCTAGAAGTACTAAAGGGATTAGATGCCTTCAGGCATGCAAGATACAAATGACACTTCTACAGCATTTTCCAAAATACTTTACAAGCTCAGTGAAGTGACTTTTCCAAAAGCCCTGTTAAGTTAGGAGACATAGACTGTATTGTATTTTTCAATTTTAATTTGTCTAGTAACTGTGCTGAAGAGGACTTGCCTGAAGTCTTGATGGATACTTCCGACAGGGTAAGAAATGTCAGTATCAGGATAAATCACCCCCTGAAGACTCCTACTCCTCTCCCCTACCCATGAGGGAAAGTTGAAGGGACTGGGTTCATTTAAACTTTTAACTGTTTCAATCGAGACAGCATCCATCTACCTTTTGAGTGCACACTGCTGGCTTCGGTTTGGGTATCAGCTGTAGCTCAACTGCATGGTGAGGGATTCCTCCTACTTGAATTTAGACCTATTTGAAGGAGACTAGGCAGCTAGACTAGATGCAGGTGTCTAAAAGTTAGGTGAGATGAGTTTTCCCAAGTTGTCTACACTGTGATTAACTTTCATGCTTGAACAGGTGTTTTGTCACCCTGCAGACCTCTGACACAGTGGATACCAAGTCCTTGCAGGAGCAATCAATAGACCTGAGATATCTCCTAGAGTTTATCATGGCCAGGCCTACAAATGATTAATCCAGCCAAGCTACGTAAGAGTGAGCTTGCATTGGTGAAACGCTACCAGATGCACCTCAGTGCACATGTCTTTGCAGGGAAAGCTTCAATCTCCCACATCATCCTAGATTCCAGGTCGTGTCTGTCTGCCCAACAATGCAGGAAATTGTTTCCAGCAGTGTAGTTTCATCTTCTACTGATAGACCCCCATGCTAACAGCAAACATCAGCACTCCCAGAATCCTAGAGGGGGAAGCAGTCACTTCTCAAGAATAAAACATTGTCATGCAGAGTTCTGATTCATTATAAAATACGAAGAAATTACTTCAGGCTGGACGTTAACAGAAAACAAAATGTGGGCAGTTTGTGCTTCTACAGTGATACCAAGAGTGAGCTGTTGCTGCACTTAACACAGACACCTGGGGCTCTCCGTGACACCCCCGCGGGGCTGGCCATCGTGCCATGGCACACACCGCAGAGCCGGGCTCTGCAGCAGCAGCTAGAGGCCGGTGGACACCCTCGAGCACGCACAGTAGCGTGGACACCTCTGCGTAGGTGACTGAGCCCCACTGCAGGCTTTCAGGGGCTGCAGAAAAGAACTTCCCAAAAGGTAAGAAGGCGGCAGAGGGAAATAAGGAAGAAAAGAGCCTGAACCAGAAGGCAGAGGCTATAGGATGTGCTGTCAGTGAGGAATCCCGTTCTGTGAAGCCTGGCTCTCCTTGTGTGCCATACATGCTACAGAGTGCTCCGCTGGGGACCATGCACCTCCTAAAAGACATGACGTTGCAGTGGTGACTGTCTTGATGCCTCATCCTTCTGTGGTTCTAACTCTAAATAAATAATTCTGCTTATTTTAATGTCAAGCATGGAACAAATCAATCTAACAGGCACCAGTGGTGGAGACTGATGGGATGAGGATCATTTTCAGCTACATAGCAGCAAAGTACAACATCTATGAACCTGAACAGACCTGAAGGAGAAAGCCCCCTGTACTGTAACAACTAATTTTTTTTTTATTTGATAGACTTCAGTTTGTACAACCTCCCTGTGTAATACGAGAAGAATATCCCAGCTCACAATTATGTTCAGAGTGATACAGCAGATTTTTTTATAGCATGTTGACCTTGCCTGCTGGTGATGTCTACAGCAGTATTAACTAGCTAGATTAGACAGGCAGGATGGTGCATGGGACTTTATGCCACATTGACTCTTAAGTCAACAGAATTATCAGAAGAAAGCAGTCAGGAGTGCAGAGGGCAATTTGTCTTCTGATACCACTCTTCATTTACTGTCTCCTATAGTTGTCTCTGGTGTGCATTTTCATCAGGTCAAATTCAGGGAAACATTTTTGACAGAAAAATTAAAAAAACCTTGTATGTTGAGGAATGAAATTCCACGGAAAACTGTCCTGAAGGAATATCCCCCATCCCTAAGGAAGGGAATGAAGCTTATAAAGGATTCAGGTTGAATTAGTTGATGTGACTTATGTAAAGCGGCAATCTGTTAAAAGTACAAAATCATAAAATATTAAAACTTTGATTGTTATCACGGTATTTTTTTTAAATCTTGGGAGCTTTTCAGCCAGTCCAATTATTTTTAACTAGCAAGTTGCAAACAATGAAAATAGGAAACATCATACAATTTTCTTCTGTCACAGATGTTCTCAATGATCATGACCTCTTGTGAATCTTACATTAATACATAGTCAGCATTAGTCAGGAATTTATTTTCTGTAGGTGAGAAGTGACTTAAACAGACCTAATTGGTTTTATTTGTTCAAGAAATAGGAGTCTTCCATCGGCAGAAAACTGTTTGCAATTCTCTTTGTAGGAGGGGCTACTGACCTATATAATCTCAAGGCAAAGCTACTGAGAGCTTAGCGTGAGTCATACTGTGCACAAGGTAAGCTTTTTCGAATGTGGACATGCACTGGGAATTAGTGTACTTGAAACTAAGTCAGTGAATAGGGTTTATGGATTAAATACTTGCATATACTTTTTTACTAACATGGTTATGTGCATAAAATGTTAAATTACTCATCAACTGCTTTCTAGGTGTACAGATTGAAGAAATTTAGATCTCAGAAGTGTGGAGTGCTTCCTCTTACCCCCTTCTTCCTATTGTAGAGAAGATGACATGTTATTTACAAGGGAAATATGGGGGGGGTGGGGTGGGGTTAGCCATTTGCTTTTGCTGCTCTTAATGCTTCAGCTTTGTTGTCGACAGAGTGTTCATAACTGTGAAGCTAGTATAAACTAGGCACCATCTACGTATTTGCTGCTGATGTGTACGCACTGGTTCTGAATGGGGAGGGGGATAAGAATCAGTTTAGAAACTGTTGTTGCTTTAAATTTCAGCAAAGCATTGGAATTGAACCGAGCAGGTATTGCGCTTTGGCTCTGTCTATGGTAAAGGCAAATCCAATGTTACCAGAGACAAAATTAAATTCCATGTCTTCAGGTGCTTGCCTAAAGAAATGAGAGGAGAGGGAGCATTGTAAATGAGATTGCATGCTTACAATGAGGGAAAAAAATCCTTCCTGTCACTTTATAATGGAGCGTAACGGCTACTGGAGAAAGCACGGCAATTGCTGAGTTTACAGTTACTGTGTATCTGCATAAACAGTAAATTGTATCCTGAGATAATACCAAAGTAAACAGAGCAGTGTATCTATCTCGCACACCCTGCTTTTTGGTCAGAGCGGAACGCTTTGGGATGGAAATGGGTTTTGGTTTGCTTGTTCTCTGACATTGGCCAATTGCTCTCAGTGCAGAGTTCTGCTTAACTAAACTGCACATATAAAAGACATCTTAAGGTAAAATGATACAATGCAGTCTCTCAATACAGTCTTTTACCTCCTCTGCTAATTTGATGAGAGTCTTGGACCATAAATCAGTGGTTTCGAACATGACAATTTTGAACAATGCTTGAGAACCAGTTAGAGTCTCAAAACCAGCATTCTGAATCTTTATTTTGCAAAACTTACTTCTTTATTCCAGATAGTAGGAAATCAGGCACATAGAAACATGTCTGGGAAACCCAAGCTGCACTACTTCAATGGACGAGGCCGGATGGAATCAATACGGTGGCTACTAGCAGCAGCCGGGGTTGAGGTTTGCCTGTCTTTTATACTAAGAGCACGTGACAAATACGTATTTTTACTGTTCCTTATAAAAAATGTGACTGACCAGCAGATTCAAGCTCTGCATTTAGTGCATTGCTGACCAAGCCAACAATGACCATAAGCTTACCCTAAGCAGGGGGCCAAGTTCCCATTTCACTTCCAAGTATCATGTGCCAGGCCTGCTGGTAGCACCATAAATGCCTCTTCCCCTGTAGCTAGTGAAAGAAAAAAAAAATAAAACCACAGCAGCAGAACCTGGTTTCTTATCTTCTGATCACAGGGGCTGACCACTTTCAATTCTGAAGACCTTCAGCTAAAACCCAAAATAGCAAAAAATTATTGTGCCTACTACAGTGTAGCTTACCCCTGAAGGTACTGTATATTATAAAACATAGAGCGATTGTTTTTACCTCTAACAGCTTCTGATATTGAACTGGAAAGGGAGTGCCGGGATCTGTGTGTTTTAAGAGCTGTGAGTCTTTGTCATGGTGATGGGCAACGTGCCAGAAAGCTGCACGGAGCCCATGATCTCTTCTCTTCGTCCCTCCTTGTGCCAGCTTGTGCTGCTGCAGTGTGAATTTACCTGTCCTCTCCTCCTCTGCCTCCACCATCTCTTGCCAGCACCAACAACAGAAGCGGCATGGTCCTTGTTTGCTTTGCAGACAGGGTTTTGTGCCCTTCAGTCACCTCAGCTTTAGCCAAAATCTTACCTGCACAAAAATATGCATTGCATGTGAGAGGGAAGAGGAGAGGATGTGACAGAGGCAAAATAAGTTTTTAAAGATATCACTTCCAAATCTGCTCTTTTTTTTTTATTAAATAAAATTCCACAAAACACAGCTCTTTGTGCCCTCACTGTCTCATGGAAAGCAGAAGTTAAACATGCAGTGACAACACAATTTTTCTTCTGTATTTCCTGCAGTTTGAAGAATGTTTTCTGGAAACAAAGGATGATCTAACAAAGTTACAGAAGGGTAAGTTTCCTTCACTTTTTAATAACTAGATGATGATAACAATAATTATGATAATGATAACAATACAACAACAACAATTGTTTGTCTTAGAACACCTAAGCAGTCTTATGTCTTAAAAAGAAAATCTAGACTGGATAGTACATGAGGTATCAGAGATGCACACTGCTGTGTGTTACATAGGATCATCCACCCAGTTGCTTCAGTCTTCAGTGAATCACAGAAGGGCTGAGGTCAGAAGGGACCTCTTGAGATCATCTGCTCCAACTGTGTCCAGTTGGGTTTTGAGTATCTCCAAGGATGGAGACTCCACAGCCTCTCTGGGCAGCCCATGCCACTGTTCAGTAACTCTCACAGTAAAAAAGCCTTTCCTTAAGTTCAGGTGATTGACTCTCCTGCATTTCAGTTTGTGCCCATTGTCCCCTGTCCTATGACAATTCAGGTTTTTGTCATCAGATCATCTTGAAATTCATTAGCATTTTAGGTTGCCTACAAAGTTGTTGTTTTATAATCCATATGAAACCAGAGTTCCAGATTTCTGAGTTTAACCCGTACCTCTGATGCGTTCCTGTTTCCCAAGGCAACTACGCACCTTGCTATCTTTACTTCCATCTTTGTGGATATGATATTCACATCTCCAAAGCAAATTACATGTCTGTGCTCCTCCAGTTCACTTGGCTTTTCAAAGAAGTCTGAGCTGGGGTTGGCATTTGTAGTCCTGCTCTGCTTTAGGAACGATGACTTGATCTCCCTGCCACCTGCTGGCTTTTAAAAAGTATTTTGAGACACAAGCATAAATAAAAATGTGTCCTTAATAGCAGGCAGTTCCTCTGCATGCCTGCCTTACAGTGGATACAAAGATGGATGCAGCTGATCAGTTATTTGAGTCAAGAAATATGATTCCATAAAGTAAATACTCTGACTCACTTCTCTGATCAGTTCCTGGAGGTATTTTGACTTCTTCCTTGCTAGAATAAAGCTTCTGCAGACTAGCAAGGGATTTACATGGCTACAGTCTCACACCAAGTGATATTTGGCTCTTGCAGGAATCTCATGAAACCCACCTATTATTCCCTGCTTCATGCCTGTACAGATGTATGTCATTGTATAAAGTCAATATAGTAGCCACAAAGATAGTATTATATGTATTTATATTCAGATTATATGTTGACAAGCCCTTAAATAGTCCAGATTTCCATAATACTTACCAAAGCATGACAGAAACTGGCTCATTATGGGTCATATCCTTCAGTCCTTCTCATCTGTGTTAACCTCCATGAAAATCACCTGAGTTAGAGCCACACAGCACAGGACTTGTCTTTTTGTGTATAACTGCTAAAAGTTCCGCATTTAGGTGCTTCCTCAGATTTGAAGAAACTTAAGATGGTTGCTATAATATGAAGTTATTAACATGTCACTAAGAAATGGCTCTTGGTTTCATGGTAAGCGTTTTCCATACCATGTTATGAGAAGGAGGAATACTGACACCAAAAAAGTTGTCAATCATTGGAACAGGCTGCCCAGGGAAGTGGTTGAGTCACCATCCCTGGAATTATTTAAAAGACCTGTAGATGTGGCACTAAGGGACATGGTTTAGTGGTGGACTTGGCAGTGCTAGGTTAGCGGTTGGACTCGATGATCTTAAAGGTCTTTTCCAACCAAAACGATTCTATGGTTCTAAATAAAAAATAATACGCATAGTTACTTTGCCAAACACCTGCTAATGGTTCTTACTCAGAGACTGAACATCTCCTTGTCTTGTCCTCTTTTCCCTAGACGGATCCCTGCTGTTTCAGCAAGTGCCCATGGTGGAGATCGACGGGATGAAGATGGTGCAGAGCAGAGCCATTGGCAACTACATAGCAGCAAAATACAACCTCTATGGGAAGGACCTGAAGGAGAGAGCCCTGTACTGTAACAGTACCACCTTTCTTTGTTAGACTACAGTTCATACTATCGCTCTGTGTAACTCAAGAGTTTCCCAACTCACAGTTAGATTCACGGTGATACTTTTCATGTAGCACGTGTTGACCGTGACTGCGGGTGATGTCTACAGCAGTAATAACCAGCTAGATTAGACAGGCAGCGTGGTGCAAGGGAGTTCATAAAGACTGAAGGTCAGTACAGTTATCAGAAGAAAGCAGTCAGGAGCGCAGAGGGCAGTTTGTCGTACTGATGCTGCTTCTCATTTCCTCCTGCAGTTGGCAGCAGCAGGCATTTTCACCACGTCAAATTCAGGGAAATGCCTTTGATGGAAACAAAAATCTTCTCTAATAACCAGGAATTAGAATTAGACTTAATAACTGGTTATTAAAGGATAGGGCTCTTAGGGCACATGGTTTGACCTGAAGTATTTTTAAATGCTTCAAGTTAATTAGCACAGGTAAACTCATTTCAATATATTTGTTAGAAATTGTATAGACCTACTGTTTAACTTCCCACATCTGATTGTATTTTTAACAGAAGGTTGGATGACACACATGCCAATTTTGTACTCCGGTTCAGAAAAACAGTACATAGAACTATCACCCCTAGTGAAAAAATGGTAGGGGTACAGTCTTTTAGTTTTTTGTTAGGCACTTTGCACTTGTCTTTCACCCACTCTCGCCTCTGCCCTAAGCTACTGCATGCTGGATAGAAGAGACGGAGAGTTCCCAACACCTCAGTGGGGTTATGCCAGTAGCTATCGTGCTATTCAGACCTACTGTGTTTGACTTGACCAACTGGATCTATTCCTTTCAGAATTGATATGTACGTGGAAGCAGTAATAGATCTGAACGAGGTACTCATGACCCACCTTTTCCAACCAGCCGATAAAAAGGAGCAACATTTTGCTACTATTGTGGACAAGGCCACAAACAGATACTTCCCAGTCTATGAGAAGGTACGTGGCAAAGATGTAGTATCTTAATTAATATTGTTTTCCTGAAACTCCATTCTGGATCCACACAAACAATTTGTACTGAGGAAAACAGAGAAAAAAAAAAAAAACACTTAAATATAAATGCTATGGTTTTGGTGGGGCTGGGATGAGGATGGAGACAGAACACTACGGAGGGGACAGAAAGTGCCACAAATCTGGGAGAGATGCAGACTGCAAAAACCCAGGACACACTGATCTCCCCAAATGTCCATGTTTCAGTTTGTATGTTGTTTCAGACAAAAAGCCACTATTAGCATCAACTTTTACATAAAGTTTCCTCCTGAAGTACAGGACCCCCTCTACCACACATGCTATGTGAAAGCATTACTGCTCCTTCTGCAGCAAAAGGAAGGATGGATTAGGGTGTCAAGACCACGAGGCACAGGTTATACGTGGAGAGCTCCCAATGCAATGTTCCCAAACTTTAAGAGGAAACAGGTGAGAAGTAAGAGAGCTGCAATTTGAAAGACTCCAAGATGCTCTTACTATGCCCTGGGCTGAACTTAAGCCTCTTGTAAATTTTGTACAGGCATTTGCAGTGATGGCTGTATCCCATAAAGCTTCGCCTCCACCACAGCAGTGCTGATTGCATGAGCTACGGAGGTGAAGGCAAGAGGGGTACAACTGAGCTGCCAGGGAGAAGAGCAGAAGAGAAAGGACTGAAAAACTATGCCAAGAGTGACAGTGTGGTCAGGTTGTTTGTTTGTACTACAGATGTTCTTATTGTCAAGGATATCTCCATGCAGTGTGTGACCTTGCTTTGAAGCTATCGTATTAAGTCACACAGAGGAAAAAAAAATTAAAAATCACTTCTGGTTCTCTGTTTTTAGGTTTTGAAAGACCATGGACAAGACTTTCTTGTTGGCAACCAGTTTAGCAGGGCAGATGTGCAATTACTCGAAACCCTTTTAATGGCAGAAGAGTGCAAGCCTGATATACTTGCCAAATTTCCTCTCTTGCAGGTAATTGAATGGACAGTTTTAAAGGACAATGAATCAAAGCAGGACCACTGATTTAAACTGGCTGAGAAATACAGGGGGAGTAGGGGAGTGAGAAAATAAGTGAAAGACAAAATCAAATTCCAATATCCTAAGTATTTTTAGCTTGTGTCAAATACTGATGCTTATTCTCACCTTCTGTTACTATAGCCATAAAAGCATAACAGGATGATGCATATAGATTCTTCTGTAGGATCAGCCCATAATGTTACTTTTAGAGCATGTATAACATCTAAATGTCTGACAGTTACCATGGTTCTTAAGAACAGTGCTGTTTTGGTTTTGTTTTGTAGAGTTTTAAAGCAAGAATAAGCAATATCCCCACAATAAAGAAATTTCTGCAGCCTGGCAGCCAGAGGAAACCACCACTAGAAGAAAAAGATGTCCCAAAAGTGATGAAAATTTTCTACTGAGCAGCAACTTAAACCCACAGAAATGCTATGTCTTGTGTTTGCTGATAGCAGCAAAGTGAAATTAATAAAAATAGTGAAAAGGTTTTTCATCTCTCTTTCCTAAGCTGCAGGACTGGTTTTAGCCTACTGCAAACATATCCAAAGCAAGCCTACCTGAGTGTGCCAGCAAATGAAATAGCTCACTCAATTAGGGGGTATGCTGGACAACACAGGATGTCTTAAATTACTTAAGAGATTACCAGAAATAAAGTCTTACTATTGACACTCAAAACCAGTTTGTTCAATGACTTCTTGCTGCTACTTATATACCTAAGGGCTCTCTGATTCTGTCTTTCTGGCATTCCCAAGAATTGCTGGAAAATGAAGAGAGCTTAGCCCAAACAGTGGGTGACACATCTGTTCTGGGAAATGCCAGGAAAAGCCTGCAGGTTCTGGTTTGATGGGGATGACAGGTTTGGATTCAGCGTTCCTCTGAACTTAACTTGGAGTATGCTGGGACCAGAGGTCCTACTGCCACCGAAATTCGGGAATGAAAGAAAACTCCTTAACACTAATTTAGCATTAAGAAGCAGGCATTTCCTTTATTGCAGCGCTGGGTGTCAGGAGGATAGTTCCTCAAATCAGGCACCCCTAATGCTGGTTCTCTTGTCATATTTATACACAAATGTTACAAAGATTACAAAGTGGTACACTCCCCGTTCCAATAATTGGTTCATATTTCTTCGCTTAGTATGCAAACTAGAATGCATGCTCAGTTCTGTTCTCCGCCTCTATCTTTTGAGTAGGTGGTATAATTTGGGTAGGGGGCTTATGGGTCGGTGGTCGTGGGGACCCTGGCCCAAATTACCTTTCCCCTAGTTTCTCAGTATTTCAGTGTTGGTAATTGTTTGCTATACGCCTCAGAAAGATAAGGATGTTGCTGGAGGCAATTAATGTCCTCCCTTTCTGCAAAGTATGTACATAAGGACCCTGAAGTGTCTTGTAGCTCCTCCTTTTTCTCATGATGTGTAGCAGGTGCTCATTCTAAGAATTGTTAGCCTTCTACCTAAAGTAATAATGAATAGTTTCTTATCACACATAATACCAGTAGGCCTTCATTACAGGCCTTTCTTCTTGGCTACATTTTCTTATTATGTATAATATAAGCAGGCCTTCGTTACAGGCCTATCTTTTTGGCTACACTACTGCACCTGTGTTTTGTCACTAGGCATTTAAACTCTTGTATTGTAGCTTCACCAATCTTTCCTGTAACAAAATGTCTGCTGTAGCAGTTAAAAGCACTTTGCAGACTCGATTGAGAGATGAATGCTTGTCACCAACTGTAATGTTGAAAACTTATTGTTTGTGGAAGGAGGAATCAGACTGGTGCCAAGTGCTAGTGAGACACTGAAATGTAGGACTTCATGCTGACTTAAGTCACTTTATATTAAGTTCAGTTAAATATAAGTTGTACATAAGTTGTATATTGTAATCGCTTAAATCAAGCTGTGCTACTGAGACGCAAGAAAGTTGAACACATAAATACGTATATTATTTATACACCAAATCAACCACAGATGTAAATGCAACAGCCAGTGCCCTAAAAGCAATTAATGCTCTAGTACCGGCAGTTTTAAAACAGGCAAACTCGGGGCACTAAAACTCATGCTAACACCAATGATTTCTTGGTGTTAGAAATGCCAGTTTTTAGAAACAAGAAAGGAAAACAACCAAACGTTTTTCAGCAGCAGTGCATGCATTCATTAGAATTGCTGTTCATAGGCAAGAGCTGCTTCCCTCCCGCCTCCCCAAAGCATTTGGGCAGCACTCGCAGCTGCTGATTGCTGTCAGAAACTTGAACGGGTAACCTCGGCCATGGCTGCCGACTCTGCCCTGCAGCTCCCCTGCATAGCCGGAGTCCCTGGCACACCAACAGCTCGGTGTAGCTCGCACAGGGGCTGCAGCCCAGGTCTCTCTCCCCGGTCACGCCATCGCTGTGACCCCACTGCCATCTCGGGGGTCTCAAAGCCTTCCTCCTGCCCTGGCTGCCACGTCTCTTCGTTTTGGCCCCCCGCCGACCTTGAAGCCAGCCCAGTGGAAAAAGTCGCTTCACAAGACTTCAGGGACAAGGCCGAGGTGGCTTTTCCGTCGGCTTCGCTTGCAGGCCTTAGGGATGCGATTTAGCTGCGGGAAGCCGGGTGTCGGTGCGCTGAAG